CCCATATGGTCCCCCAAGCACGGCCAGGAGTAATTCCTGAGTGCATGAAACAGGAGTAACCCCTGTACATTACTGGGTGTGACCCAAAAAAGAAAAATAATAATAATAATAAATAAATAAATGAAAAGTTCAGTAGTCCTTGGGCATGCAAATGGCCCTGCCCCACAATTTATCTCGAAAAGATGGTACTCCCCCAAATTGTCCAAAGGACCCACAGGTCCTGGAGACAACTCCACATTTCACAGTACCAACAGCTTAGTAGGAGCACGGCAAATATGGGAACATTGTACAGAAGCCCGCCAAGCTTAATGAGTGAGAACGGTCACAGAGCAGGCTCAGCTAGCACCAGCCTGCTCAGTACATCCTCAGACAATGACGTCCGTAACACCGTCATGAGATATATGTTGGAGCAAGCAATCTAAAGAAAATTATTTTATGCCTGCGAAGGGGGCAGGTATGGACGCTGGGTGGAAAACTGGGCACATTGGTGGGGGGAAGGCCACGCTGGTGGTGGGATTGATGTTGGAACACTGAATGCCTGAAACAACTTGGTAAATCATGGTGTTTAAATAAAAGCTCAAAAAACAAAAAGTTTTGCTTTGTTTTGTTTTTTGGAGGGGACATACCCAGTGGTGGTCAGCAGCTCTTCCACTTTTGTGCTCGGGGGTTGCTCCTGGGGTCATGAGTTGTATGTAAAACTCAATTACACACACACACACACACACACATACACACACGCATATGCATGTGTGTGATAATTGTATATTAAACACAAGTGTTTGGGGGCAGGAGAACAGAGCGGCCAGAGTCACACCTGGCTCTGCTCAGGGCTTACTTTTGGCTCTGCTCTCAGGAATTACTCCGAATCACCCCTGGTGGGATTCAGGGGGCCACAAGGGATGCCAGACCTCACCTGCTGTACCGTCTCTCTCCCCACCACAATTCTATTTAGCCATTGCCAGCGCTGCTGACCCTGCCGCTACAAGAAATCAATGTGTTATTTGCATCAATTCTGAGTAATGTGATTAGGACTGATTTCTAGGTGCTCTGCGTGTGACCTCTGTTTGCGGACTGCTTCCTGGGCCTGCTCCTAGGACTCGCCGATTTATCACTCGGGATCTAATTTGATGGTCAGAGAGGAGCGCCAGCCACGTGTAGCCACTCGGGGCGCAGAGCACCCGGGGCTCGCACTTGGATGTGGCTTAATTACCCCGGGCAGCCCCGGTGCCCATGTGTTCACATAAAGAACGGTTAAGGAGGCAGCATGGAAGCACACCGCGAGCAGCTGCACCATCAGGGCTCGGAGAACAAAGGGACGGTTGGGATTATTTATTTACTGATCAGAGAGGTTCCTTTTAAAAGAAAATACTTTTTTTTTGACACTGTGATTTACAAAGTCGTTTGTAATCAATAGGGTTTCTGGCATCCAATGTCCCCATCATTTTATGAACACCCCCCCCCCCGACATACACACACCTGTGCAGACCAGGCCCTGTCCCACTGCCTGCTCACCTGTCCTGCTCTTCCAGCTGCTCAGCCTCCAAAGCCCACCTTTGCTGGGTTCCACTTCTCACCATGTTCTCTCCCTGCCCCCCAGCATTGAGATCTACCCCCTTTTAACTACCCCCCCCCCCCATATTCACAGGCCTCCTTGTCCTCTGCCCTGGAATGCCCCCCGTCCTTCCCACAGAGCCAGAGACAGGCCTCACAGCCAGGTTTGGGATGGGGCGGGGGATGTCGGCACAATGAAGATGGAAACAGGATGAGCTAAGAGCCAGCCCTGCACCGCCAGGACCATCGGTGAGTCTGAGCAGACTCAGGATGTCCCTGAAGAGCAGCCTGGCCTCTGGCTTTCGAGTCCTGCTTTGATGGCGTCCTTGCCGTTAGAAGTATTTCCTTCACATCCTTACAGAAGTTTGGATTTCTGCACGTGCCCTCACCCCCACATTTATCAATATGCAATGACACCAAGAGCGATACCTACCAATCCCATTTCACCAAATGTGTTTCTCAATCCTTTTTGAACAATGTCCCTTTCTTTAAAAAAAAAATATTTATTTATTTTGCTTTTTGGGTCACACCGGGGATGCACAGGGGTTACTCCTGGCTCTGCACTCAGGAATTACCCCTGGCGGTGCTCAGGGGACCATATGGGATGCTGGGAATCGAACCCGGATCAGCCACATGCAAGGCAAACGCCCTACTCGCTGTGCTATTGCTCCAGCCCCATAATGTTCCTTTCTAACTTTGCTTCTTTCCTGTGTGTCCCCAGTCCTGCTGCTTGTCCCCCAGTCTCGTGCTGTGGCCCCCATTTACTCAAATTTTACCTGCGGACTCAGAATATCCTGGGGGCCCCAGGGGACCAATATGATTGGGAAAAACGAAAAAGCAACCACCAAATAAAAAACATCTTTTTGTTTCAATTAACCTACATCTCCTTTATTTGTTTGGTGTTTTTTTTGGGGGGGGTATTGGTTTTTGGGTCACACCTGGTGGTGCTCAGGGCTTACTCCTGGCTCTGAGCTCAGGGGTCACTCCTGGCAGTGTGTCGGGGGCCAGACACAGGTTGGCTGCATGCAAGGCAATCACCCTACCTGTTGTACAGTGCTAAGGCCCCTCCTTGCTCATTTTCAATACTCATATGAGTGACCGCTTATGGTTAGATGTGCTACTGTGTATGTATTTATTTAGGGGCCACACCTGATGGTGTTTGGGGGACCAAACCTGAGTGTTCCACACACAAAGAAGGAAACCCAGACATGTGTTATCTCTCCAGTGCCACCACAACTTATTTAATCACTGCCTGTCAGAGGGTATTCAATATCACATTATTTCCAATGTTTAGCAATAGTGAGCAATTTCAGAATAAAACCTTTACACGCTGTGATGATTCCCTCAAAAGAGATTCATAGAGGGGGCCAGAGCAATAGCACAGCGGGTAGGGCGTTTGCCTTGCACACGGCCGACCTGGGTTCAATCCCCGGCATCCATATGGTCCCCCAAGCACCGCCAGGAGTGATTCCTGAGTGCAGAGCCAGGAATGACCCCTGAGCATCGCTGGGTGTGACCCAAAAAGAAAAAAAAAGAGAGATTCATAGAAAGGCACCCAGAGTCAAAAGACCTGAGCACTTTAAAACTCTGCTCCTCGGGCTGGAGGAAGGGTTAAGGGGCTGGAGCATAGGTGTGCCATGTGGGACCCTGGGTTTGATTCTTGACACTGCATGCCTCCCTGGGGGCACCACCAGCTCTGTCACCCCACCTCTCACTCCCCCAAATACCTAGAAGGCTGTTCCAGGTAAAGTTGGCAGCCTCCTGGTGGAAGAGCCCATAAATCCTGACAGCACTGGGTGCTCACTAAAAATGATCCAGAAAGGTTTCCTTAGAGGAAAGTGTGTGAAAATTATTGAAAAGTGTGTGAAAATTATTGTATGTCACCTTGTATGTCACTTGTATGTAAATTATTGTATGTCACTTACATAAGCCCCTATATAAGAGATCACGAACATGTTGTTACAGGTAGAGCTTTATGAGTTGCCTTCTACTTTAGCCCCCATCAAATGTGGTGTGCTATTCTTGGTATATCAGTGGCATAAAGTCTGCGATGTCGCTCCAGGAATTCTAAAATTTTTTAATCGGGAGTTAGATTTTTAACTGGATGGTGATTTGGGCATCCGGAGGCATCTCTGCAGCGTGTTGTTCTCTTCTGAGATTTATTAGTCTCTGGACCATGCCATTAATGAACTTTTACAGCTCCCAGAGGCAGTTGGTGGTGTGACTGCCAGGCACCTGGAAGCACAGGGAGACGGGAGGGGCACCCATTCCCAACTCTGGGCAGCCTGGAGGTTTCAGACACAAAGCCCACATACCTGTTTTTTTCAGCACTGGCCCCCAAATTCAAAAAGAAATTTTTTTGTTTATTTTTTGGGGGGGTCACACCAGTGGTGCTTAGGAGTTACTACCGGCTCTTCATATGGGATGCTGGGAATCGAACCTGTGTTGGCCATGTTGGCTGCGTGCAAGGCAAACGCCCTACCCGCTGTGCTATGGCTCCAGCCCCTCAAAGTTACTTTTAAAGATCTGCGGGCAGTAGAGAGGAGCACAGAGGGGAGAGTGCTTGCCTTGGCTGCCCCTGTCCCAGGTTCACCCCATAGGGTCCCCTGAGCATCATCAGGAGTGATTCCTGAGCACAGAGCCAGGAGTAAGCCCTGAACATAGCTGGGTGTGACCTGGAAACAAACAAAAAACAACAATAAAGCTATCGCCACCAACGCAGCTATTGGCTACCTTTATGGAGCTCCAAGAGGAAGGGACAACGCAACGGGGCTTCTTTGACTGTACAAGAAGCTGGCTCGAAGGACTGATGGGTGGAGAGGAAACGATGGGGAACAGCAACTGCGGAAAAAAACAAGTGGACAGTCTCGTTAAGTCGCTCTGGTTGTGTTCGTGTTGAAAGCGCGAGATCACACAACCACATATGCTTCCGTAGTCCTACAAAAGTCCCCCTAAACCTGGGGGGGGGAGGGGGAGTGCACAATAACGTGACAAGAGTCGCCGCTTCCTTCTAAACTGGGGTGGCCGCGGAATAAAGAAAGGGTGGAAGGGAAACTCTTCCCAGCGTGAAACTCTGAAATCGTCCAAAGTAAATCTTAGAAAATCGTTCCGTGCAGAAGAAAAGAAATAGCGCATCCTTCCGGGAGGATTGAGGCGCATCCTTAATCCTGAACCCGACCTCGGCTCGCACCCGACCCCACCTCCCGCCCAGAGGGACCTTGGAAAGAAAGTGCTCTTTCCCTCCCGGGTGTCCGAGAGCAGCTGTGGGGCCCCTTCCTCCAGCGAGAGTCCACCCCGAGGGGCGCGGGGCCCGGGCCGGGCAGCCACGTGCTGGCGCCCCGCGGTGCGCACTCGGCCAATCAGCGGCCGCCGAGCGGGCAGGGAGGCTGCGCCCGCGCGCGGGGAGCCGGGCGCGGAGCAGAAGCGGCGCCGCCGTCCCGGAGCCGGTCATGGCCCGCCTGCAGCTGCTGCTGCTGCTGCTGCTGCCGCTGCTGCCGCCGCCGTGGACCGCCGCGGCCCGCGCCGCCGCGCCGCGTCCCGGGTGCTCTCCGTGCCCGGCCGGGCTCGCGGGCGCCGAGGGCGCGAGCTGCGGGGGCCGCGCGGGCGCGCGCTGCGGTCCGGGGCTGGTGTGTGCCAGCCGCGCCGCGGGCACGGCCCCCGAGGGCACCGGGCTCTGCGTGTGCGCGCAGCGCGGCGCCGTCTGCGGCTCCGACGGCCGCTCCTACCCCAGCGTGTGCGCGCTCCGCCTGCGCGCCCGCCTCGCGCTCCGCCCGCGCGCCGGGCACCTGCACAAGGCGCGCGACGGCCCCTGCCAACTGGGTGAGTCGAACACCAGCCCCCTCCCCACCCCAACGGGGGCTGGGACCCCACCCCGCACCCGCAGTTCCTCTCCCGACAGGCGCCCCGACGGGCACTGGACTGCAGTTTTCTCTCTGTGTCGGGGGAACAGCTTTCCATACCTGGCCAGGAGGCCGGGGGGCCTGCAGGGCCAAGAATCCACACCATTGCTCTCCGCCTTCCCCAGCTCACGGAGGCAGCAGCCGCGGAGCGACTGGGAACTGTTTTGGTGCTCCTCCTTTGGTTCAGGCCTGAGTACTTGCAGGTTCCTGCTGGCCTGGCACCTTGGCCTCTGCGTCCTGGGCTCCTCTGGACGCCCCATCAACAGTCCCGGCTTCCGGCGAATTGTGTGAATCGAGAGGGCGGGCAGGGAGGTGAAGCAGCTCCAAACCAGCTGCGGGAGTTTCGGGGTTGATGGGACAACGGCCCAGGCAGTGGGAGGGGGGCTGGTGTCCTGCGGGACAGGTAAGGCCTCTGGAGACCTGAGCCTTGAAAAAGATAACTGTGCTATGGGGAGCGGAGAGGGGTCTGGGCGGGGGGGAGTCCCGTGGGGTTTTATGGGCTGACATGAATTGGAGAATTCCACTTTCAAGTGACAGGCTAGAAAAAAAAGCTTTCATTGTTGGAGACTTAGCAGGGAAGCCTCATTTATATGACAGTCAAGCGATGTTGGGACGAATCGCCGGCGCTCACCCTAACTATGTGATCTTGAAACGATCAAATGAAAAATTAACCGCACGCGAGTCTTGGGGTGCCCTGCCACCGTGGGCCTGGCCCATGAGGTTTTGGAGAACTGCCCCTTTAGTTCTCAGTACTACAGATAGGGGGCAGTGCAGAGTTGGGGAGGGGGTGAAGCCCGCCTCCCCCACTCCCCTCCCCTCCCACACCTGGGGTTCAGTGTTCTGGCAAGAATTATGACCTGGGCCTGGAGACCAAATCCAGATTTCTCTGCCAGGGGCCGGGGGAGGCATGCAATGATTTCAGGTCCACAATGAAGCTGCACCCCCAAACCTTTTCTAGGCCTGGAGCAGTGTGGAGCATTCCCCCTCTATCCTAGTCATCCAGACCGCTAGCCCTTCAGGACCATGCCTCTCCAGGGATGGAGGCAGAGCTGACCACAGCCAAGTCCCCACTGGCTGCTCTGGGTGGGGTTTCCATGGGGCAGAGGTGGTGGTGGGGGGGTGTCCCTTCAGCTTGGAACCTTTGTTTCTGCGTTTCGTGTTTAGCCAGGCCCATCTCCTCCTCCTCCTCCTCCTCCTCCTCCTCCTCCTCCTCCTCCTCTTCTTCCCTCATTTTCTTCCTCCTCCTCCTTTTTCTCCTCCTCCTCCTCCTCCTCCTCCTCCTCTTCCTCCCTCATTTTCCTCCTCCTCCTCCCTCCTCCTCTTCTTCCTCCTCCTCCTCCTCCTCCTCCTCCTCTTCCTCCCTCGTTTTCTTCCTCCTCTTCCCTCCTCCTCCTCTTCCTCCTCCTCCTCCTCTTCCTCCCTGTTTTCCTCCTCCTCCTCTCTCCTCCTCTTTCTCCTCCTCCTCCTCCTCCTCCTCCTCTTCCTCCCTCGTTTTCCTCCTCCTCCTCCCTCCTCCTCCTCTCCTCCTCTTCCTCCTGTCTCTCTCTCTGAAGTCTGCTTTCTCAGCTCTCTGCTTGTGGTAGCTCTCTTTGTCTCACTCCAGGTAACTGGTCCCTCACATGGAGGAGGTGGTAGATGAGAGGCTGATCCCGCCATCCCCTGGACAGATGGAGTCTGAGCTGGAGGGCCAGATGCCTCCTCCCAAAAGAGCGCTTTAGACTGAGGGGACTGAGAGCCGGGGCAGCAGGGGACTTGTCCAGGGTGACCAGCAACGCTGGGACACCCTGCTCGATGTGATTTCAGGACAGGATTGGAGGGGGTTAAAAGTCATCAGGTGGCGTTGCCATGGTTACGGGAAGCCAGATGGTAGATGGAAACCCCAAACCCCGAATTCGCCAGCAATCACCGAGTGACCAGTCAATGTGACAGCGCCCCCACTCTCATCTCTGGGCTCTGGGACTCAGCTCAGGACCCAGGTGCTAAGATGCCCCGGGTCCCAAGGGTGGCCCATTTAGAAGCTGCTTTTCAGGGTCCCACTGTTGGTGGCTGGTGCCAGGCACCCCCCAACCCCTAAGATTCCACTCTCCTTCCCCACCGGGCCGGATGGATTTGCCAGCCACCTGGGTCCCAGGCTCTGCTTCTCTCCTTTTTGTCCTAAAACGTTTGCATCCCTGCCCCGGTGTCCTAGGGAAGCAGAAAGGTCTGAAAAGATGGGGAGATGTTTAGGGGGGCCAAGGTGGCCCCTCCCGCCATGCCCTCGAGCCATCCTTTCATCACAGAGCACTGCGGGAGCTCTGTGTAATCACACACCCCGGGACCCCGTGGCAGCTGCAGCTGCGCCCCTTCCCCTAGCCAGCCCCCACACCGCCCGCCCTTGCAATGCCTAATGCCCCCCACCCCACCCCCAACTTCACAGGAGTGTTTGCAGGCAGGCCCTGCAGTGTGCCATGGCTGTTCTTACACTTGCCTGGCCTCGGTTTGGAAACAAGGTTTCTACCGGATCTTCTGGGCTTTGTGGCTCTGACATGCCTGAAATCTTGCTGAGAGAGTAATTCTCTCACACAGATTATAAATGATGAACACCCATGATATTCCAGACTTGAGTCTGTTTTTTTCTTTCTTTCTCTCCTTCCTTTCTTTCTTTCTTGCTTTCTTGGTTGCTTTCCTTCCTTCCTTCCTTGCTTCCTTCCTTCCTTCTTTCTTTCTCTTCTTTCCTTCTCTCCTTCCTTCTTTCTCTTCTTTCTTTCCTTCTTTCTTTTTCTTTCTTTCCTTCTTTCTTTCTCTCCTTTCTCTTCTTTCTTTCTTTTTTCTTTCCTTCCTTCCTTCTTTCTCTTTTTTCTTCTTTCCTTATTTCCTTCCTTTCCTTCTTTCTCCTCCCTTCCTTTCTTCCTTTCTTTCCTTCTTTCTCCTTCCTTCCTTCCTTCCTTCCTTCCTTCCTTCCTTCCTTCCTTCCTTCCTTCCTCTCTCACCAGACTGTTGAAGTCAGAATTAGTTTCCAAGCATGTAAATGATCATCTACTTTAGGGGTATGATGTGAGCCCCCCGTGATCACCACCAAAGTGAAGCACCACATGCAGGACCCTCCTGAAAGCTTGTGAATTCTTTGTTTTTAGATTTAAAAAAAAAAACATTTTTGTTTGGAAGCAACACCTGGCGATGCTCAGGGCTACACCTTGCTCCGTGCTCAGGAATTATCCTTGTCAGTGCTCAGGGGACCTTATGGGGTGCTAGGGACCAAAGCCAAACCTGGATTGACCATACACAAAACAAGCACCTTACTTGTTACTTAACCTTACTGTTACTCTGGCCCCCCAGAGCTTGTGAATTCTGTTCATCTAAGTATTTGTTTTCATCAGACATTGTGGTTCTTTTTGTTTCCCCCTATTTGGGGGAGGGGGAGGTAGAGAGTTGGGCCCCACTGGGCGGTGATCAAGGCTGACTCCTGGCTCTGGGATCACTCCTGGTGGTGCTCAAGGGACTCTGTGAGACATCAGGGATGGAATCCAGGCTGGCCACCTGCAAGGCAAGCGCCCTGCCCCCCTGTACTATCTCTCTAGGACCCCTTTGTTTCTTTACCTAGGAGGGAGACAATTTGCTGTTTGTCTTTCTCCTGCTGACTGATTTTCCTTCGCGTTCTATCCATGTTGTGGAGCATAAGGCAGGAGTTCATCCTTCCTCAAAGCTGACCGGTTCTCCATCCTGCATCATCTCTCGCCCAACTTCTTTATCCACTCATCTGTCACTGGGTACTTGGGCCGTTTCCAGCCTTTGTCTACTGTAACTGCCATGAACATGGACATGCATGTAGAGTTTTGAATCTGCGTGTCATTTGTGTCCTGGGGAGAGACTCCCAGGCATAGCACTGCTGGCTCATAGAGTAATTTTCAATTTTCTGAGAACTCTCCATCCAGTTCTCCCTGGAGGCTGGACCAGGTCACTCTTAGGAGGAATTCTCTGCTGCAGGGAACACTTTTGCATCCTTTTCTTCACTCAGATTTGCAGCATGTACACCTCCCTGACCAAGTCCCACTCCCACTGAACAGAAAGAAACGCTGGGGGCACTAAGGACCAACTGGAGTCCTTGTACCACTCCCCTGCTTGGGGGTGGGGTGGGGGGCCCGACTTGGGTTCCCCCCCCCCCCCCCCGTGCCTCTGGCCTGCTGGCAACCTGATTTCTGAAGGAGTCATCCTGGATTCCTTCACTGAGGCTGTCTCCGTCTGGATCCACCTGCTCAAGGCTTTTGTTCCTGGGGCAAGGCGGGTGGGGTGGGCATAGCCTTACCGGAAAGGGAGCTGCTGTGAGACATCTTGAAAGAGGGGCTGGAAATCCCTGGGCCGAGGAGTGGGAGGGCAGTGTGCACTGAGGGGCCGAGGAAAGAGGAGGGGTCAGAGAGGGCCCGAGGCAGGGTGATCACCGGCCCCACCAGTCTCTGGGTCTCCATCCACTCAGTACAGAGTGGTTGGCTCTGTGTCTCCACGGCAGGTGTCATTCTCACCGTCCTCATCCTCACTGTTGCTCCCGGCGCTTTGACTGGCTGGGACACAGGTGTCTGCGCCCTGACCTTTTGTTAACACCCGGAGGGGGTTGGGGTGCCGCAGACAGCAGGTGGGTGTCTGGGTTCGAACGCTGAATCCTAGAGAAATGGTATCCTGAGCCTCCCAAGCTTTGGAGATGCTCACACGCGGAGATTTTGGAAATCCGCCTGGGCTGGAATCCCAGCCTGGCCGAGCAGCAGTCTGCGAGGGGTGTCTGCTCCTGGTAGCTAAGAGAGGCGGCAAAGCGACTTTGTTAGAGGGACAAAGAAGGCGGGAGGGGAGGGGGCGCTGGGGGCTCTGGGAAGCCTTTCATGCTGAGGGAGGGGATTGGAGGCGCGGGCTGCAGGGAGCCAGATTATACTGTTTCTTGTTCCACATCCTAAA